AACAACTTGAATTTGACTTGTGTCCAACTTGTTAAAAGTAGTTCATTGAAAATTGACTCATTACATAAATAAGTAAAATTTAAACACATTATAAAACTTGTTATCAAATAAAGTTTAAACTCGGTTAAAAAAATAAATAAATTTAAACAATCTACTACTAAGTTCAACTGCTCTCATTTGGAGTCCAGTAGAATTGAGGGATAAATTCATAATTGAGTGTCCCAAGGCAGGCAAGGTACAAGGGCAATATGGTCAATTACTAAGTGGGAATTCATTACGGTATCTAACCCTTTTTGCTTCTTCATCAGGCATTATCAGAACAAGAATTTGGTCATCCTCCAAGTAAGAATAGAATATTTGGATGCTTGCTTCTTATCTCATCTTTTCTTTATTTAATGCATTGTTTGGTTTTCTTTATTGGTTCCACCAATTCTTTTTATATTTTTCGATTACAATTTAATCACCAATTATAATGACGATCAAATGCAATATAAATTGCAACAATTATATATTAATTCTTAAACTGAAAGAAAGACTCAAATAAATATTAAAAGGTTAAGACTAATAAAGACTGCATACTCTTAACTTCCTAATAATTAACAATTATAATATGAATTCACTATAGTATAAATCACAATAATTACGTATAAATTCTCGAAGTGAGAAAAAGATTTCGTTAACTCTTGACTTCCTAGTAATCGACAATTATAATGCAAGTGAGGAAGTTACTAAAGTGTAAGAGCTCTAGCAAACAAGCTAATTAAATTCAATATATTATTGGTATTGGTTTTGCCTAAGAAAAATGGTGAACGGCTGCCTTAAGGATTTTTTTAGTTTTTCAAAGGTGAGCAACCATTGGTGATCATTAATTGTTGGTGAGATAATGCTTGGTACATAATTAAAATTGGTGGTTTTTGTTCTTGCTGTGTGAGTGCCGTTTGGATCAAAAATAATTCGGTGGAGTTATTTTTATTCGGTTTGGTGCTGCTTTGGAGCATAGTTTTGGTTCGTTATTTTGGGTCTTCTACAACTCTGGTTCTGAAGATTTTGATTCTTCTATTTGGTGAGGTCTTTCCTCTTTGTTTATTTGTGATTATTTGGAATTCACCTAAGGGTGGTTTTGTGAGACTATTAGTGTCTCGTTTGTAATCGTTTGGAATTATTTGGTTGATAGTGGAATCGGATTTCGATCCCGTGGACGTACCTCACATTGAGGGAACCACGTAAAAATTCTTGTGTTGCCTTTGATTTAATTTTTCCGCATTAGTTTTTATTCCCATTGATTGATTTACTTGTGGGGAATCACATCGATTTTCCTTAACACTAAAGTAGTTAAGGGCCTTTTCTTGAACTTTTCCGAGTCAAAAGAAGTCCAAGTGAATGCGAAGGCCTTTGAAAATATGAACGAATTGTGGCTTCTTCATCTCGATTATGTTCACCTAAGTTCAGGTTTTGAACATAATTTTAGAAGGCTATTATGGCTAAGCTGGAATGGTTGTCCGTTGGAATGGTTGCCGTCGAAATTATACATAGAGAAGTTGGTTGCTCTTGACTTGTGTTATAGCAAACTGAAACAAGTTTGGAAGGGAACCAAGGTACAATATTATTTCTTTACACTTCATATATCAATAAGTTTGGAAGGGAACCAAGGTACAATATTATTTCTTTACATTTCATACATCAATCATATTGTACTAATGTGGAAAATAATTTTTCTCTTTGTGTTTTTGACAGGATCTTAATAATTTGAAATTCCTTTATCTCAGTCATTGTTATTATCTAACCAAAACCCCAAACTTCTCTGGACTCAACAATCTTGGAACTATTGATTGACAACTGCATAAGGTTGGTAGAGATTGACGAATCTATTGGATGTCTCAACAAACTTATTGTCCTAGACATGGCAAATTGTAAAAAACTTGAGCAGTTTCCTTCAAGGATTTTGATGTCGAAATCTCTTGAGTATCTTGATCTCTCCGGCTGCTCCAAACTAAGAGAATTTGCTGGATTTAAAGGATCACTATCAAAATCATTGTACACATTTTTCTCATCTTGGGCATTGCCAAGAAAGAAGGTGGATTCCATTGGTTTTTCACTACAGGGTTTAAGAAGTTTGAAGACATTGAAGATGGCCAATTTCAATATGTCATATCTGCCCAGTGAAATTGGGAATTTGGTCTCATTAACACATTTGGATCTTAGTGGAAACAAGTTTTTGTGTACGTTACCGGATAGCATCTATAATCTTACTCGCTTGCAGAGATTGGACATGGCAAATTGCAATGTATCATATCTGTCTAGTGAAATTGGGAATTTGATCTCATTAACACATTTGGGTCTTGAAGGAAACGATTTGTGTACCTTACCGGATAGCATCGGTAACCTTACTCGCTTGCAATCATTGAACATGGAAAAATGCAATGTATCATATTTGCCCAGTGAAATTGGGAGTTTGATCTCATTAACAAATTTGGATCTTAGAGGAAACGATTTGTGTACCTTACCGGATAGCATCGGTAACCTTACTAACTTGTAATGGTTGGAGATGAAAAATTGCAATGTATCATATTTACCCAGTGAAATTGGGAGTTTGATCTCATTAAACCGTTTGTTTCTTGATGGAAATAATTTGTGTACGCTTCCGGATAGCATCGGTAACCTTACTCGCTTGCTTGAGCTAGGGATGAACAACTGCAATTTGTCACATCTGCCCTGTGCAATTTGGAAGTTGAACTCATTAGTATCCTTGTATCTTATTGGAAACAATTTACGTACCATACCGAATGACATCTGTAAGCTTACTTACTTGAGAACCCTCTACTTAAGTGGTTGTGCAAGGCTTCAATCAATTCCTGAGCTTCCTAAGAGCATACGTATAGTGACTGCAATTGATTGTGTTTCATTAGAGAACATTGAGTTAAAATGGCTGGTTGGGGTTCATCATCCTGGGGCAATCCTGAGATTGAAAGGTTGCCATAAATTAGCCGAGAGCAATTTTGTAAATAATGTCATGAAAGCAGCCATCCAGCAGGTCAAGGTATACTCTCTCTCTCTCTCTCTCATTGGCATTATAAATCATTCTTCAAGAACCATAATCAATCCCTACTTATTCTGAATTAATACAATTTCTAATGTCTCATTCATCTAAGGCTTTGTTTGGATCTTGAATTTGTGGAAGGGGGAACAAAGAGAAAAGGGAAAATTGCTTTTTCTTTTATTTTTTCCCTTCACTTTTGGCTTTTTGTTTCTTTTTCCTGATGTCAAATTGGATTTATTTTTTTTATTGCATATCTTAGTAAGAAAAAGAGATTTGGAGTTGTTTGGCATATACTATTTTAGTCCATCTTTTTATCTTTTTTAGATCACATCAATCAACATCACTTCTTTACTTTTCTACACATCTTTTTATAAAAAGTCAAAAAGTACACTTATTTAGAACATCCAAACCACCCCAAGTCTATACTTTGACGAATGCATCATCTATTGGAACAGGATTTTCATGCACTTGAGAGTCCTGCGATCCATGGTTTTGTAAGTCATTCTGAAATCCATCTTACATGGAGTGAGGTTCCCAGATGGTTCGAGTACCAAAGTGAAGGATCATATTTATCTGTCAAGGTGCCGCCCCTTATAAATCGTAAAATATGGAGCTTGGCTGTATGCATAATTTACATTGGATCCAATTCCAATGAAAAATGCAAGCAAATAGGTTATTTTTGGCTTGAATACCATATAAACAAAGTCTCGAGGAGATCAAGTTTATTTTATTTTCCCGGTGATGGTTTATGTAGTGAAGAGCAGATGTGCCTCGAATTTGCGTCAACGAGTAAATTAGAAGGCGGTGATGAAGTGGAGATCTTCATAACAGAGTGTTGGTAGATGCAAATAAAAAAGTGTGCGGCTAAATTAATTTTTGAGGTTGATGAGAATAATGCAGATACGAATGATGAAGCATTGGCTGACTACATCTCATCACCTTCCCAAAGTGCCATCCAAGAAGAAGAGGAAGAAGTTGATTATCCAACCAAAAGAAGAAGAAGAAGTTGATTCAACAGATTAATAACGAAACTTAAAGCATTGGAAGCAAAAGGTATGTATAAACTTTTTTGCAAGAGTAATCAAATCCATATGCCTCATTTGGAAAGTTGACTATTTTAATAGGTTATTTTAGTTTTTGGTTATTTAGGTTAAAAATATGGAAAAATTATTTATAAGTGCTATTAGGGAGACTTATGCTACATATAGTCCTACTAAAAAACTTATGTTCCCATAAGTCCTGTGGGAAGTTTGTTGACACATTTACTCTCAATATTAGTTGTTAATATCATAAATAATAGTAAAACTATATATAAAAAATTGAATGTTACCATAGATCATATCTATATAAACGTAATATAACGTGACACCTACATAAACGTAACGTGACACCTATACGTAACGTGACACCTACATAAACGTAATGTGACACCTATGATCTATGACAACATTCAATTTTCTATATAGGAAATTGAATAGGAAATTGAATGTTGTCATAGATCATATCTACATAAACGTAACGTAACGTGATACCTACATAAACGTAACGTGACACCTATATAGGAAATTGAATGTTGCCATAGATCATATTTATATGAAATGTAACGTGACACCTACATAAACCAGCAACATTTTCACATTCAATTTAAAAAAATAAAAACTCATTAAGTTTGCGAAACGTAATGTGACACGTTACGTTACGTTTATGTAGGTGTCACGTTACGTTACGTTTATATAGGTGTCACGTTACGTTAATCGTATTTATGATTGCTTTGGATATTAGATTGCTTTGGATAACAGAGGACAGTGAAGTTGAAATGTTTGGGGAAATCAGATTGCTTTGGATAATATTTATGATTTGTTTTGTACACTCATTTTTTTTGGGAATATTAATCATGAGAGAATGAATTACTAGAAAACAAATAGTAAAACTTGTCTGACCTGGTGAATTTTGGTAAGATGAATCACTTAGGATAACTAACAGGACACTGAATTTTTAATCAAATTATATGATGCTTATCATTGTCAATGTTTTACTTTGCAGGTCATTTGATGCGAGAGAGACTAGATATAAGACGAGCAAAACATAGGAGAGAAATGGTTGAGCTGCCTATAGGTAGCCAGAATGTATGAAGTCTACATCACTAAGGTTATAAACTACTGATTTTGGTTTTTTATTGATGTCGTCTTACCTTAGATATTGAAATTGAGACCTTCATTGAACTAGGAGAGGATCTAAATTCCAAGCAGACCCAAATCCTCATGCCTCATATGAAGTCAGCTTGGACGTACAATTATCCCTCCTCTGTCCAGATTAGAGGCGACATCTGGACCCACATGTCTTCGTGAAGTTGTTTTGACATGGTTTAGTTGATTTTCGAGAGGTATTAACATGGGATTGTTTATCCAACCACTTAAATTATACCACCAAATTGAAGGCCTATTCCTATTTACAAGTAAATGATTCTCTCATTTTATCTCATGTTATATTTTATTCTAATCAATATAGTATGTCTCACACATTTCTCATCCGGTTCATCCTATGATATTATGAATTTAGTTAAATTTATAACAATTATAAACATAGTGTAAGAGCATATTGAACAAATTCTTTAAAACACTCAAATTAGACATTTTAGTTAGCCTGTAGCCCTCCAATAGACTCTTTAGACATTATTTTGCTTTCTACATTGAAAAAGCATAGGAGATTATCCGAACTTTAGAAAAGATTATTGGAGTACATGCTAATTAAAGTGGTAAGGTAAAAAGTCGTTTTGTTAAAAGAAAAATACTAAAAACCTGTATGGCATCACTTCTAAATTGACTCTCGATAACATGAACTGTTACATGTCAATTGTTAATTTGTTTAGAAATTAGGCATTTCAGACCCAATTAGTTGTCAAAAAAATCCCTTCAAACGACTTTCAATTTTCAGAAGTCATGAAAAAAGTAAAAATTATGAAGAAAAAAAAAAATAGGAATGTGTTATACAAGTAAGTATTTTTAGCATTAGTTTTTTTTAGGATATTCTTAATTAATAATTTAATTTTTAATTAACTTTTGAAGAAATCAAACCAAACTAAAGCAAGCCTTAAATTAACTTTCGAAGAAACTTTTAAAAAACTAAAATAAAGAATAGAATTGAAAAGAATGGGGTTGGAGAGTTGCTCTAGGAAGTATATATTTAAAATAATAGGGGTGGCTGGGAATATAAATGACTTTTTTTATATTCAAATCATGACCCTGATTCCACACCATGCTTTTTAGATGCCGTTCAAAATGGTCTCCAATCAACCATCCACAACAACAAAAGCCATCAATCAAGAAAGGACTACCATTTGGTCAGGTCAACAAGTTGGAAGTTTGTTCATCTTTCATCAATCAAATTTGCAAAATTTGTACCTCACAGTCTAATGCTGGAAATTGTTTGGTGTTTGGCATGTTAGGGTAGGAGAAATTTACAATGTGCACCCTTTCAATGGCACACATTGTAAAAAAGTTATGATTTTTTATGATGAATATTATGATTGTTTGTGATATGTGTTATGATATTTTTTAGTAAAGTTATAAATAGCGAATTTATGATTTGCATCCTAAAGTTTGAAATGATAATGTTATGACATTTTGTGATTTTTGTTATGACACTTTGAGATTTTATTATGACATTTTTCAATGAAATTTTTTTTTGACTTTTGTAGAGAAAAAATTATGATATTTTGGGTTTAAGTTATGAAATTTTGTGAAAAAATTATGAAAAACATACTATATGCACTTTTTTGCTGTATTGTTCGATGTTTGTCAAATACGCTGTGAATGAAGATGGAAAGACCGCGTTTGCTTTGGCAGTCGAATAGGGTCACTCGCATTTGTATGATATGTTGCATTTGGGTGATGCGTTGCATAGAGCTGCAAGGATTGATGATGTTCATGCCACGAAGAGTTGCATTGCGGAAGGAGTGAATGTGAACGGGAAGGATCAGAATGGTTGTACTGCTCTGCATAGAGCTGCATTTAAAGGCAGACTTGAGAGTGTTAAGACCTTGGTTAGTAATGGAGCTCAGATTGATCTTCTTGATGATGGTGGATATACACCACTTCATCTTGAGGTGGAGGGAGGACGTATGCAGATTGCAATTTATCTGATAGCTCATGGGGCTAAAGCAAATGTTGTGAAGAATAATAGTAGTCTCAAAGACTTTGAGATGGTTCCTTTCAATTTAAATTGTTTCAAGAACCATCCTTCTCTTGTAACTACTCCCTTGCGTCGAGAGAAAGAAAGAGCTTGATCCTATGTTTGATAGTTTCTGATTTGTATGGATTAATAGCAAATATTTGTATATGATTGTAGTGATTTTTGTGTTGTTTGTAGAGAAGGGTTGTGTTTCCTCTCACCAGATTGTACATGGGAGTCCATGGGGGTTGCGTGAGCTTCAGATCTTCAATTCAATCTATGTTCATTATGAGGATTTAAATGTATCCAAGCCCAATGAAATGAATTAAGGTTTTGTTTCGGAGTTTCTGACTCTGTTCAAGGTTCGGTTTTCCCCTGTAAGTCTAGTCCATTATGGTACAAAACTAGTATGGTCAAATATTAGGTACAATATTCAAAAAAATTGGTGAAGTATGGACATTGTGAGGTAAATAGGAGCCCCATTTTGTAAGGTACCATATTCAAAAAATTAGCATGGTCATTGTTAGTTCGTATAGTGTTGGTGGCCTCGCATGGCTGGGGAGGGAGAGAGAGAGTATGATTTCCGTTTTCCTCTCGACCAGATTGGACCTTCATCTTTGATTCAATTAGTGTACATTAAGGTCATATTTAGTTGGACTGATTGGATTATATGGAATTAACAGTTTTAGAAGTACTAGTCTTAAGATTATCAATGTCTTCGAATTGAATATCCTGTCCTATGTTTAAATTGGCTTAGGATTATGAGGTCTGATTAAAAAAAATCTTACCAATATATTAATTTGTATTTCTCTTTAGTCTTTGATTTTGCATCTCACTCCCCCCTCTTCAGAAATTCAATAGTCTCTCATGTGGGGGGAATAATAGGGACACATGGACTAGTTTAATCTCAATTTTGTTAGTCAGACATCGAATTATATATTTTGTTGAATTATTAATCCAATTCCAAAGCATATTGACCCAAACAATGGTCATGAGGATTTAAATTATCCTGCTCAAGAAACGAAGTAATTTTTTGTTTTGAAGTTTGATTTTGTTCAAGAATGGTCTCTATTTCCAATTTATTGCTGCAATTCCATTTTTGGTTGTCTAAGTTCTGTTTGAGAATTAGTTATTTTAATTAATTTTTTATAAAAAGATTTGAAAAATATATATATATATATATTGTCACAATTTGTAATGACTTTTTTTCTATTAAAAATCCAATTCTCCAAATGATGCCTAAATATCATCGTGATAGAGATGATGAATTTTTTTTTATTCTTGTTCTTTGAGATAATCTAAATAAGTATAGTTTTTGACTTTTTATGAAAAGACGTACAAAAAATTAGATAGATGATATGATCCAAAAAAGATAAAAAGATAAATAAGTGTAGTTTTTTAGTAAATCCCAAACAATAGAGATGTGAAACACGAGAAGTTTAGACCAAATCGGGACAAAGTTAGGGTGGCCAATAGTCATGGCCTCCCAATTTTTTTATATTAAAATTATCAATTAACTTATAATTTAATATTATATATAGAATAATTCTTAAATTTTTGAAGATGATCCCAAATTATTTAATATAATAGTATATGATCCTATTGATTTCATTATTAACTAATATAAATTTATTGATGTTTCTTCTTCTTATTTTTTCTCTTAAAGTAAATGTTAAAATTTCTGTTTTACTAAAAGATTTTTTTTGCTACACTTAATTTTGTCTGCCCTAAAATAAATTTCTAATTTCATCCAAACCAAACAAATTATAATTATTAGGTAAAAGATGTGATTCAACTATAAAATTTTGCTATCTACTTAAATATTATGTTTAATTATTAATTTATTAATTCATTCAAAAACTTAGAGAAAGGAGTACTTTTTTTCTTTTTCTTCTTATTATCACCGACAGACTCTACTACAAAACTGTGAAGAAATTTCTTTGAAAGGCAAAGGTCGTTTCCCATCCCATGAGGCTAACGCCTTGCTTGGAATATTTTAGTAATTTTTTAACTTTTTATAAAAAAAAATTGTAGAAAAATAATCAGAGTGATGTGATAAAGCTTACCTGTAGTCTCCCAAACGAGGCCGAAGAATTGCTTACAAAGAAGTTACCTGTAGTCTCTATAGGCTAAAGCTTGACTCACATTTTTGTATAATACCATAAATTGTAATAAAGTGAGGGTTGATTTGAAAAGTGATTTTTGTAATAATTTTTTTAATTAAAATGTAAGGTAAAAAAATTAAAATACTTAGAAACAATACTTTTATTTTTTTATGAAAAAATGTGTAAAAAAAAGTAAAGATAATGAGAATTTTTTGAAAATTTTATGACTTTTTTGATATATATATATATATATTGTGTGGGTGATTTTCCGACCACACTGCCCGCTTAGTAATCAGCTGGAGATCACCGGCAAAATTGATGGCTTTAGTTAACCTGTAACAGAAAGAAAAGGCTCTGGTGGTGGTTCTTCCACCCGGGGGCACTCCGACGATCAAGTCAGTATATCTCTCAAAGATAATCAAGTGCTAAACTTATTGCTCAAAACATAAATTGCGTACCTTAAACCCACGGGGGTGCTTCTCTTTTATAGTTAACTCAATCCAAGTCCCATTAGAAGCCTAACTTCTATGGACTCCTATTCAGTGCTTACTTTGGATCTTCAAGAGATAAGGATAAACTCCCAAAGAGCTTTATCCATATCTTGATTAAATCTCCTCTTCATTCTAGGACTCTTGTCCTTTATCCGTTTATCTCGGATTCCGACATATTCGAAGATAACCTCGGCCTCACCGAGATGACCTCGGTATAACAACCAAGACACGTGGCATCTTGGCTGACACGTTGGTGTCACCTTGCCACGTGTTGGTATTTCAGAAAATACATCCCCACAACTGCCCCCTAGGTTTTATTACCTCGGCATGGCGTGGCACTCAGTATTGCTGTTCTCCTTCCTCTGTACCTCGGCGTAAGAACTCTTCGGCCGAGATCATTCATGTCAAGCCGATATGTCTTGTTTTCAAGAACAAGAACTCAAATGAACTTTCCCACGCGCATGAGCTGTCATGCATCACTTCTCAACTGTTTCCTGCACATGTCTCATCTTTATTGGCCCGTGCCTTAATCTGTCTGCGCCGTCTGACGCATGCGTTTTTCCAGGCGCAGTAAATGCCTTATTTTGCCGCCGTTTTACGTTTTCAACAAAAACACTACCTTTGCCTTCGTTTCTTCACTTTATGCTTTGATTCACTTGCTTTTTCTCTCTCTAAGCTTTGTCTCTCAAATCCGCCATTGTTCAAGCTTCAGGCTCTGCAACCTCATTCGTCTCTCTGGCGAGGCTCTCGCTACTCTGTCACTTCTGTAACCGTCGTCTGTCTTCGGCGAACTTCATTCCGGCTTCAGTTTCTCTAGTAAGCCACTATTCTTTATGTATTCAGTTCACTGATGTTCTTCTATCTTCTTGCTGTCATTACTGTTCTGTTTAAACTGTTAATTCCGTGAATCATTTTTATTGTTCACTACTTCTTGCATTTTTGCCATTGTTCTTGGCCCTGTAGTTCTTGTTTTCTTTATGCTTTTGAGAACCCCACTTCTGTTATTCATTCTGAAACTGCGTTCTGGTTTCTTGTTTCCTGTGTTGTTTTCCAGATCTCTGCCTTCAATTTTTGCTTTCAATCTTTGCCTTCATAGATTTAGGTTTGGGATTTGTCTATAGAACCTATCAATTCTTAGGTAAAAACTGAAACAATCCTTACCAGCATATACCTAGGGTTTCACCGAGGTCCCGATAACCCCTTAAGAGCATCTTCTTTCTGAAACCTAACCCTCTGATTTTAGGCCGACGTTATGGGTATGTGGAGGTACAGGGTAGATACCCTAACCAAACTTGAGCACTTTAGGCAGGAGTTCTCCATCCCTGCCGATGTCCAACTGAGACTGGCTGGGGATGATGACTCCATCATGCCTACCGAAAACGCCATGCCCCTCCCTATTGTAGCCTTTACTGAGTGCGAACTTCGGCTTCCACTTAACATCCTTTTTGCGAGATTCTGCATTATTATAAGTTGAACCCTATGCAACTTGCCATAAACTCTTATCGAGTGATTTTTGGTATTATCGCCTTAGCTAGACAGGAAAACGTTAGAATCACCCTAGCCAATATACAATATTGTTACACCATGTGCGCCCTTAACCTGAAGGAAAAAGGTTACGTCTATTACCTCAAGCCGAGGTCCACTGAATTCAAAATCGTAGCCGACCTTCCAGACTCCAACAAGGGGGTTGGAGATGATTATGTTATCGCTTCGGGAAATTGGGAGTTTGACGCAGACGAGGATGCCCATCTCTACCCTCTTCCCCGATCAGTTAAAGAGGGCAAGGGTAAGAGCCCAGTGTCAATACTTAGTTGTTTCTGTTCAAGTCTTCAATATTTTATCTGTTTCTAATGTCTGTTTCTTCTTGCAGACGTTCGCAAGCCAGCGAAAGACTTCCGCCAATCTTACGTTCCCAGTAAGGACCTGAAAAAACTCCTGGACTTGCCAGTTCACAAAAGAAAAACACATCTTCTTCTCAACTTTGTTCCTACATACAAATCGATTTTGCCCGACGTCCCCAAAAGAAAGAAGAAAAGCCTTTCTCCTCATACTGCCACAACTTAAACCGCCTCTACATCACAAACAGATCAAGAGTCAACATCTGACCCAACCAATCAACCATCTACTTCGGCCCCATACTTGGTCCCAATACAAGAACGAAAACGTCGGCGAAGACTTGTCAAAACTGCTGAGATGGGTCGCCCAAAGCCCGTTGCTCAAGATCTCCTTGTCGATCTCCCTGTTGACGTTGATGCTCAGCCGACGCAAACCATGCCCCCACCAAAGCCGAAACGAACCAAGAAAGCCCAGCCAAAGGCTAAAGCCACTGAAGTTGAGGCTGAGGATACCCTAACAATTTCACAATTGGCAGGGAGTGAGAAGACGGCTTCCATTCCCAAAAAAAGGTCTGCTGAGACACAGCTATCAGAGTCCACACAATCAAAGAGGCCGAGGTCATCGTCTGCGACGACCTCGGGGTCCAGAATACCAAAAGTCCTCTGGACGCCTGAAATTACTTTAGAAGATAAGCCTGTTCTTTCCAGCGATAGTGCCGAGGACATTAATGTCGGCGTAGCATTCAGTACCGCCTTACTTCTCCCAGGTGATTTTGAGCGGAATGCCAAGATGAGTGAGTACGAGAACTATGCCTTTATGCTCTAACGTTCTGTCCAAATAAGTGTCTTTACATGGAAACTTGTCTTCTCTTTTACTTTGTAAAATTTTGTAATAATTTTTGCCCTGTGCTCTTTCAAGCCATTCAACATGTCCACTCTCTCTCTATGCAAGCTTTTGAAAATAGGGCAAAGTTGACCGACATGACGAAGGAGGTTTCTGCCCTTAAAAAGGAGAACAAAACTCTTCAATCAAAAATGAAAAAACTGGAAGACCAGGCTGAGGCTGCCACCAAAGCCCAAACCCTAGCCGAAGAAAAGGCCGAATCTGCTGAGGCCATCAAGAAGGTTGCCGAGGCCGAGAAGAGAGAAGCTGAGGACAAAAAGGCTCAAGCCGAAAAGGAACTTCAGGAGGCCTTGGCCACTAAAGATGCTGAAATCAAAGCGGCCGACAAAAAGGCCTATGCCCAAGGAATGGCCAATGTTATAGAGGAATACAAATTACAAGTTAGGCAGGCATGCAACAGGGGCTTTTCCCTTGGTTGGATGTCCCTGGCCAAAAAGCTCAATATTCCTGAAGATTCACCTCTGCTCAAGGCCGAAGCTATTCCTCTCCCATTCCCTCCTCCTCCTCCACCTCCAAGTCAAGCTGAAGAAGAATCTGAATCTGAGTCTGAAGATGAGGAGGAGGGTCAGGATGAGGCTTTAGTCAGGAAATCCAAGGAGGCTGTTGGGCCTAAGTCTCCTTCTCTGAATGAGCAGGTCTTGGACCTGACTCAAGATGATGATGGTGATGCAGTTGCCAAGGAAACTACTCCTGAACAGGCCTCATCTGACGTTCCTCCAGCCGAGAAAAGTCTTGATGAAACCCTTGCGCAGATTGACGCCAAAATCGAGGCGAAAAAGACTGCCGAAGTAGCTCTTCAGGAATCAGCCGAGGTAGTTCTCCAAGAATCGGCCGAGGTCCAGTCTCAAATTGCGCCTGATGTTGAAGAATCATAACTTTGATGTCCCTCTTTTCTTGTCTTTTGTACTTTTTTGTTTCCTGGACAGTATAAGCTTTTTTGTACGGTCGATGTGCCTTCTGTTTGTGTTGGATTTTTAACATAACTATCTTTCTTTGAATGACTGTATTCTTTTTTGCCTTTTCTTTGACTGCCTCTGTTTGATTCTATACTTAGAATTTTTTGTGTGCCTTTCATACTTTGCCTCCTTTGTGCAATCTTCTCGGGGTTACATACCTCGGGTATAATACAAAACTTTTACTTCGGCAAGATACTGACCTGCAAACTTTTCATAAATTCCAACAAGTGTGAAACATATACTACTCAATGTTAACTTTGCAAACTTTTTCTCAAGTTTCAACAAGTGTTTAAACGGTGATCTCGGTCTAGCCTACTTGTAAATTGCTACAAATTTCAACAAGGATTAACATATACTGTAACAGGGATCAACAAGGATTAACATAACTAGTGTTAAACAATAATCCATTTGTAAATTGCTACGAATTTCAACAAGTGTTTAAACAACATACTTAGCTTTTTCCTCAACCTGTAAATTGCTGCAAATTTCAACAGATGATCATATGTCGGCTTAACGTTATCTTGTAAATTGCTATAAATTTCAACAAGTGTTAAGCATCTTCTTTGGTTTAACCGACCTGTAGATTGCTACAAGTGTTTAAGCAATAACCTCGGCTTTGCTTCAACTCGTAAATTGCTACGAATTTAAACAAGTGAAGAGAAACAGTAATCTTGGCTTAACTTCAACTTGTAAATTGCTACAAATTTCAACAAATGAAGACAAGGAATAATCTCAGCTTAACTTCAACTTGTAAATTGCTACGAATTTCAACAAGTGAAGATAAGGAACCATCTCAACTTAACTTCAACTTGTAAATTGTTACAAATTTCAACAAGTGAAGATAAGGAACCATCTCAGCTTAACTTCAACTTGTAAATTGCTACAAATTTCAACAAGTGAATTAAGTGTCTCTGTCTTCTTTCTGCCCCCAATGTGAACCTGAGTTCTACTTGGGTTCTCATTATTCATGTCTCCAAAAACACCAATATGTAACTTTATTAATCATATGTGTTTAAAGAAAAGGGAAAAGATTTTATTGATGACATCGGCCAAAAATAATGCACATCTAATGATAGAAGAATTTCAAATTACAAGTGTTCCAAGGTCTTGGCAGTGTTTTGCCCTCGTTATCTTCAAGCCGATAAGCTCCAATGCCTAATACCGAAGTAATTATGTAGGATCCTTCCCAGTTTGGGCCAAGCTTGCCCTCTCTGGGATCCTTCTTGTTGCCGACGACGTTTCTCAGGACTAGGTCGCCGACTTGAAAATCTCTTGGATTGACCTTCTTATTGTAAGCTCTGGCAAGCTGTTGCTGGTATACTGCGAGCTGAATTGCAGCTTTCTCTCTTCGTTCTTCCAAAAGATCCAGATCTCGGGCTAAGAGTATGTCATTAGTCCCGTTCTCAACTCTCTGGGTTCAGATCCCTGGGATGCCGACTTCCAGTGGAATGACTGCTTCTGTGCCATAAGCCATGGCAAAGGAGGATTCCCCTGTTGATCTTCTCGGCGTAGTCCGATATGCCCAAAGTACGTTGGGCAATTCGTCTACCCACTTTCCTTTTGCTGCCTGCAGCCTCTTCTTTATTCCATCCAAAATTACTTTGTTGGATGCTTCTGCTTGCCCATTACTTTGGGAAAAACTTGGTGTTGAAAAGTAATTCTTGATATTGAATTTCGCACAAAAGTTCTTGATGAGTTTGCTGTCAAACTGTGTTCCGTTGTCGGTAACTATTGCTCTTGAAATCTCAAATCTGGTGATGATGTTTCTCCATATAAAGTTCTTGACGTCCACATCTCAGATTTTGGCAAGAGGTTCTGCCTCTATCCACTTCGTAAAGTAATCTGTTGCTACCAGCAAGTGTTTTCTCTGCCCAGTTGCCTGAGGAAGTTGCCCAACAAGATCCATGCCCCATTGGGCAAACGGCCAAGGGCTGGATACTGGGTTCAGGTCAGCAGTTGGCTGATGTATCAAAGGTGCAAACCTTTGGCATTGTTCACACTTCTTCACGTAGGTTTCAGCATCCTTTTGCATGTAGGGCCACCAATACCCCTGGGTAATGCCCCTGTGGGCTAAAGATCTGCCCCCAGCATGGCTTCCACAAATTCCTTCATGAATTTCATATAGGAAATCTTCAACCTGCAAAGGGTGTACGCACCTTAAAAGGGGTCCAGTGAAGGACCTTCTGTAGAGGTGTCCATCTGCTGTCAGACTGAATCTTGCCGATTTCAATCTGACTTTGTGTGCCTCCTTACGATCTTCTGGCAGCTTTCCTTCTTTCAAAAATGCAACAACTGCATCCATCCAGCTTGGCCCCATGTCCACACACATTGCTTCCTGCTCTGTGCTCTGTGGTTTTATGCTCGGGTGCGACATATAGTTGATCATAATTGTTCTTGTTTTTCCAGTCTGCATTGAACTTGCCAGGTTAGCCAACGCGTCGGCGTGGGTGTTGTCATCTCGGCTAACTTGGAGTAGTCGACAGTTCTGAAATAGGGCTGCCAATCTGATGACCTCTTTTGCATATGCCGACATCCTTTCGTCTCTGGCTGCAAATTCTCCTGTTGACTGGTTAACAATAAGTTGTGAATCACAAAAAACTATTACCTCATCTGCTTCTGCTGCTGCTGCCAGTTTTAGCCCTGCAATTAATGCTTCGTATTCTGCTTCATTGTTTGAGGCCTTGAACCCCAAATGGATGGACTATTCTATTATTTCTCCATCTAGAGATATCAGCAGTACTCCTATCCCCGCTCCTTGTCGGTTCGAACTTCCATCGACAAACAGTCTGAATGAGTCGCCGATGTAGATGCTGTAGGGTCTGAGTTTTTCCTTCCTTTGTTCTTTTGCTTTTGGCTGGGCTTCTCCTTGTTTGCTTGGACATCGTTCATCTTGGCTCAACGGAGCCCGATGTTCGATGGATTCTGGCGTGAATTCGGCCACGAAGTCGGCCAAAACTTGTCCCTTAATTGCTGTTCTCGGCTTGAACTCCAGGTCATACTGGCCTAAGGCCACTGCCCACCTTGCTATTCTTCCAGTCAAGTCTCCTTGTTGTAACAAGGACTTCAGTGGGTGCTCTGTTAGCACTATAATCTTGTGCGCTTGAAAGTAATGGTTCAGCTTCTTTGAAGCCACTACTAAGGCCAGCATTAGTTTCTCTAGTGATAGGTACCTTGTTTCTGCATCGGCCAAGGTTTTACTTACATAATAAACAGCCTTTTGCTCCCATGTTTCCTCTCGGATTAGCACTGCACTGACTGCGTGTTCTGACACTGCCAAGTATAAAAACAGCTCTTCCCTAGGCTCAGGTGTTAAGAGGACTAGAGCCGTGGTCTGGTATTTCTTCAGGTTGGTCAAAGTGGCCTTGCATTCTTCTGTCCACAAGAAGTCTATGGCTTTTTTTACCAGGTTGAAGAAGGGTCTGCACTTATCTGAGCTTCTGCTGATGAATCTGTTTAGGGCTGCGGCCCTGCCAGTAAGCATCTGAACCTGTTTTGCCGACGTCGGGCTCTTCAACTCTAGGATGGCCTTGATTTGATCTGGGCTGGCCTCAATGCCCTTTCTTGTTACCAGGTACCCCAAAAACTTACCTGATCCAACTCCAAACGCGCACTTTGATGCGTTGAGTCGAAGCCGGTATGTTTTGAGTATATCAAAGACCTCTTTTAGGTCAGCAAGATGACTCTTAGATTCCTTGGTTTTCACGACCATGTCATCGATGTAGACTTCTACCGTTTTGCCAATCAGGTGTTTGAACATCTTGGTTACCAATCTTTGATAAGTTGCTCCCGCATTTTTCAACCCAAAAGGCATTACCTTGTAACAGTACAGCCCTTTAGGGGTGATAAACGATGTCTTCTCTTCGTCTAGAGGATACATGGCTATCTGGTGGTACCCCCTGTAGGCATCTAGAAAACTCATTCTTCCATGCCCTGAAGTAGCATCTACTAGCTGGTCAATCTTGGGTAGAGGAAAGCTGTCTTTGGGGCAGGCTTTGTTGAGGCTGGTGAAGTCTACACAGACCCTCCATTTACCATTCTTCTTCTTTACCACTACCGTGTTAGATAGCCATGTCGGGTAGTGAACTTCTCAGATGGCCCTGGCCTCCAGAAGTCTGTCTACTTCTTCTTCTACTGCTTCGACGTGCATCAACGTCGGTCTTCTGGCTCGTTGTATCACAAGTTTTGCCGACCTGTCGACATTCAGTCTGTGACAAGTGACCTCGGGGTCAATACGAGGCATTTCATATGGTGTCCAGGCGAACATCTCTATGTTTGTTCTCAAAAAATCTTCCAGTTCTCTTTCCTCTTCTTCGGCTAAGCCTGAGCCAAGAAGAAAGAAGCGCTCATCGTCGCCCTCCTGGAAGAGGATTTTCTTTAGCGCCTCTTCGCTCTTCTCGGCTGGTTCTTTGCCGACGTTTTCTAGGACTTCCACGTCCTCATCTTCAATTTCTGCCTTCTTTGGCTCTCGTACGCTACAGGTAGACTTCATTGCTGCCATGGAGCAATTCTTTGCCTGCAGTTGATCTCCTCTGACTTTTTCAATCCCATGCTCTGTTGGGAACCGTAGTAGTTGATGCAGCGTTGAGGGAACTGCCCCCATTGCATGCAACCACGGCCTTTCGAGGATGATGTTGTATGGCGAGGGCGTGTCAATTACCAAAAAATCTGTCTTGATCTTCTTAGTGCCGACTTGTACTTCCAAGTTTGTTACGCCCAGTGGCCATATCGGTGTTCCATTGAAGCCGACCATTGGGCCGTTGGATTGCTCCAAGTCATCAGGGTGAAGGCCCAGCTCCTTGTAACATCTGACATACATGATGTCGCAAGAGTTGCCTTGATCAATCAGGATGCGCTTCACTTGGCACTCCCCAACCTGGAGGGATACTACCAAGGCATTGTTATGTGGATGTTGGACCATC